AACGAAAATATTCCGTACAATGCCTTTATTTGACAGCTTGTTACCAATTGTTGTTTTTAATATTATAAGTATAATATATAGTTGGTGTTTAGTATTAGAACATAGGATGTATTAATTTTAGATGTTTCCCTTTTTTAGTATGTGTCATATGCCATTAGTCTTTTTTGAATAACATTGATGTATTGGGCATACCATGCACTTGAGGTTATATAGCACTTTATTATATGATAGCATATTATAATGCACTTTACACTGGTGTCACTTTAATAGGTCATTTAATACTAACTATGCACTTTTAAGTTTATATATTGCTAATGCCATAATTATACATTGGCAACTTGGGTGTTTATACCCCTTCTTAATAATGTTCAATTATCCATAACATTGTTCACTCAAGCACTATTCTACTATCACGATCTTTTTAATCAACATTTAGTTGTCACGGTGTTGAGAATTTCGTATACATGTCTCCATGGTGATTGGACGTATTACGTCAGCACGTGGTGTGGGAGGAGTGAGCGTGCGGGGGTGCGTGCGCATACCCGGAAGTTCGGCGATCCCGGTGGTGATGGCAGTAGCACACCTGGGTGAGTTTCAATTTTAATTATATAGGTATATATTTAGGATTGGTATTTATGGTATTTGTTATTCTGTTTTGTTGGACCCTGAGGAAAGTCCCGAGCTGGGACTGAAACGTCGGTCATTGTTTTTATTACGATTCAATAAAACTTTTTCTAAAACCGGAGAGCAGCCGTTGACACTTTGGAGTCTATATATATATATATATATATGTAGCGGAGAGCTGGTATTACACAGCCTATCTCCACTTTGAATCCCAGGGAGGTTCAGGAACAAGCAATTATAAATCCATAGGATAAAATATCCAGCAGGCAAAATAACAGCAGTATCCCAACAGCAATCCCAATAACTGGACGACACACAGTTTCAGGAGCAGAACTAAAGCTTTATTCAGACAGTGGCCTTTTAAAGCCTGCTCCCATGCAAGGGAGGGATTTCCATTAATTTGTACAGTAGCCAATCCTGCTCTGGTAACCTCCCACACATCTCCTCCCCTCAGCCTGCATCATAATCCCCTTATCCAGCACACCAATTCCCCCCGTTTCTGGATGTACCCCTAAACTTAGGGGTACCACTTTAAATCATACATCCCCTGGTAGCCCTGATCTGGGTGAACAACATATCCAAAAATCACCCAGATCAGACCAGGGGTTCGGGAAATTTATGGAGGGAATAAAATGACCGACCGCACTGGGTGAAACAGCCGAATGAGGTTCCATGTGAATGGGCCCTGCGGTCGGTCCTGGAGTCAGGGAATAAACGGCACGAAAACCTCTAGCTACAGAGGCTAGGGAGGGTTCGCCTGAATCCCCTTGTTCGGTTCTTTCTATCTACCGAACGAGGGGCCGTTCGGTAGTTGGGAACTGAACGGACCGGACTTGTGGAGGTTTCAGCGGTGTTCGCCTAGTCGAGTGTCCGATTTGAGTTCCAGACACTCGACGGCAAAACACCGCTGTTCGGGAGTTTTAAAATGGCCGCCGCCACGTGTTCATTTTTCGAATGGCGGCCACCTCCGAGAACAAAGGACTCTACTTAGCTTGTCAATTACCCATTCGCAACAATGTTGCAACGGGTAATTGAAGGCACACTTCACACAGGGGAGGTCTGACTGTTCGGTAGTTTCATTCTAACAAACTAAGGGAATTAAACTACCCAGGGCCAGATTAAGAGCCCAGTGGGCCTGGTGCTGACAATTATGACAGGCCTAATTACAGAATCATATCGACCGAAAACAGTAAAAAACTCCCAAGCATCATGTATCTGATGGAGATGGTGCTGGAGAGAAAGAAAACAGCAGCTATAAGAAAACACATACCCTAGGCTAATCTCTCTAATTTATGTTTTCATCTTTCAAGTAAATCCATAGCCCCTAACAGCAGTGTCCAGTCAAGCAGGAAGTCAATGGGCATGGCAAAAGGGTGTGCCTCTGACACAAATCACGTAACCTGCCAAAAGGGGCGAACATGCCCAAAAAGAGGACATGTCTGCTCAAAGAATTAGAAGGCCAGCCTGGCATGAATGCATGTCAGGCTGCCTGCCAATCATGCTGCTGGCCAACTAAGGGCATACTATGCACCCTGAGCTTTGCATAAATGCATCTAATGATGCGCTCACTCAACGCTTTCTAAGGACTGTTCCCTAGCACTCGCTGGTCCACTTGTCTCCTTACCTTCTTACTAGCAGGCAAAAGCTCCTGGTATATGGTCTGGGACAGAGAAAAGCTGTACTTAGTGAGTGTAGAAGAAAGGGAACATGCCACAGTGTTAGAGAGACCAAAGTCAGCATTACCTTAGAGGATCACTATAGGGTCAGGAACACAAACATGAATTCATGACCCTATAGTGTTAACACCACCATCTAGCCTCCCTGGGCCCCTCATGCCTCCATAAATATAGCAAAATCCTACTATATTCAAGCCTGAAGCTGTAACTCTGCAAGCTGTTAGACTCATAAAAACAAGCAGTCTGCTGACATCATTAGAAGTGGTGGCCTGATCCAATCACAGTGTTTCCCCATAGGATTGGCTGAGACTGACAAAGAGGCAGATCAGGGTCAGAGCCAGCATGATTCAAACACAGCCCTGGCCAATCAGCATCTCCTTATATAGATGAATTTAATTAATGAATCTCTATGAGGAAAGTTCAGTGTCTGCATGCAGAGGGAGTAGACACTGAATGTTTGGATGCATTTTAGGCAGCCATGACACAGGAAGGATCTCTAACAGTCATCTGAGGAGTGGCCAGTGAAGTTATCACTAGGATGTAATGTAAACACAGCATTTTCTCTGAAAAGACCGTGCTTACAGCAAAAAGCCTGAAGGTAATGATTCTACTCACCAGAACAAATTCAATAAGCTGTAGTTGTTCTGGTGACTATAGTGTGCCTTTAACTATATTCATTGTCAGCCAGTCCACACAAGTTTTGTTCCCATACATCCCTCTTAAGTTTCCATACTTAAGTAAGAGTATGTGAAAAGTAGTAAGGGTTGCCACCTTTCTTGGAAAACCATACCGGCCTTACTAATTTGCATAATTAAATATGTGTGGGTGACATCACATGATATAAATCACAAGGAGTGACATAAGAGAAAATGCTGTAAAATCACCAAAAAACTACTTCGTTTAAATCTGCTGTATAGATGGATTCCTCCCAGTGCCCCCATGTCTCGCAGTGCCCTCATGACTCAGTGCCCCATGTGTCAATTACTCCAGGTCTCAGTGTTCCTATGTATCAGTGTTTCAGTGCCCCATGTCTCCCAGTGTCCCCTAGTGTTGTGTCCCCAGGTCTCCCAGTGATCCTATGTATCAGTGTCTCAATGCCCCATGTCTCCCTGTGTCCCCATGTATCCCAGGGTCCCCATGTCACTAGGACACTAGGAAGACGGGGAGACCTGGTGACACGGGGAGACCTAGGGACACAAGCCACCAGTGACACTGGGAGACTAGGGGACTCAGGCTGGGACACATGGGGACAATGGGAAAATAGGGGACACTTGAAGACATTGGGACACAGACACCAGGGACAAAGATACTAGAGACACTGGCTGGGGGACATGGGGACATTGAGACATGGGGGCACTGGGAGACATGGGGACACTGAGACACCAGGGCCACAGACACTAGGGACACTAGCTTGGGGACATTGTGACACTTGAGGCACTGAGAGACATGGAGGCACTAGGAGACATGGGGAGAGTGAGACACTGGCAGACTGGGGGCACTGGGAGACTAGGGGTCATTGGGAGACTAGGGGGCACTGAGACACCAAGGACACTGGCTGGGAGACATGGGGACACTGTGTCCCCATGTGTCTTTCCATAATGTCTCCCAATGTCCCTTAGTGTCTCAGTGTCTACCATAATGTCTCCCAGTGTCCCTTAGTGTCTCAGTGTCTGCCATAATGTCTCCCAGTGTCCCTTTGTGTCTCAGTATATGTCTCCTTGCAGCCTTTCCCCCCATCCCTTACTTCCCTGAGCTGTAGGCTGTCTCTGCAGTGTGGGAGTTGCTGTCTGGACTCTCTGTAGCTGCACCCGTGCAGATCAGTGAGTATAGATAGGCAGGGAGGGATATGCTGGAACTTCCTATCCCTGCCTGTCTCGACATACAGCGACCCCTACTGGCCAGTGCTGGTATTGCAGAGTAATCTCCATTTATACTGAGAAAAATACCAGCAATTATATTGCCAGTATCACTGCAATATTGGCACCAGCCAGGCAGCCTCAAATACTGGCTGTGTCAATAAAATAAAAGTCAGGTGGAATCCCTAAGAGTAGTGTGTGAAAAAAAAAATGTAAAAAAAAAAAATGTTAAAATTTTTTTTTTTTTTAAATCAATGGGCCTATTCCATGGGCCTGGGCCTGGAGCTGCAGCTCCATCAGCCCCTATGTTAATCCGGCCCTGAAACTACCTAACATTCAGACGAATACAATACATTAAATACATAGAACTTTGCTGTTTTCACACGAATGCATTAAAATACATGAAATTCTCAGGACAGCCCAGTGCCATCCGCTACAACATACATATATATATATTTTTTTATGTTAATCTACTATATATAATGTATTACAAGTGGAGTAAACTCTATTATGATATGTCCCTTTAAGACCGATTTAGAACTGCACACAGTCACAAACTTGAGCCACACCAGGTACAGAAGAAATGTCAGTGTTAAGGAAGAACGTATCATTCACTATGGAAAACAGAAAAAGAATCCATTGCCAAAAGAATTTCTAAATATATATATATATCTTTTAAAACAAAAAAACAACTAAGGAAATATTTTTTCCACCAGCATTAGAACAAACCATTACTGCAGTCAGTGTAACGGCTGGAGTTAACCAGCAGGTGGCGAACCTTGCTTTAGGTTGTTTCGTTCTATAGAAAGAACGAAGCGATTGAAGGGGGAAATACATAGTAGCCGGACAGGAAAGAGCATGTTTGAACACAGTAGGAAGGCGGGCTGCAATATTTGATGTTGACATGAAAGCATCACCTGTCTGAATTCATGTTACTCTCTGAGGGCTCCTTTTACGTACAGTGGATTTCTGATGATTGTTTAGTTTAGTCTCTCACAGCTTCCTTTTAATCCTATCTCTTTACACTGTGTCCGTAATGTCTGTGGTCTGTAGCAGCTCTGCGGGTTGGTTATTGGATGAACTCCATCTTCTGGATAAGTGGTACCAACGTGGAGGAGGGCTATACACAACCACCACTTCTCCCTCCAATTATATGAGTGACCATGAGAGGACTGGGGTCACTTACAGATTCAGAGAGGACTTGTTCCTGATTCTTAAACCTCATATAAAACCATCAAAAACTCTCACATCTGATACCTTAAAT